GGGCTCATGGGGCGTTACGTTAGATCGCGCAATGAATCAGCGCTGCGTTTTCAACGTAGTGGTTCCTGCACAATGTGAACGCGGCAACTGCAACTACGCAATGACATAATGCGTTCACATCAACGCAGTGTCCGCAATGGCAACTGTCAGCCTCGTCATCTACGCTACGTCGACTGCGCAGTGTCAGGACCCCCCTCCTAGCACACGAGACTCTCTCCTTCCCGCGCGCGAAAGGCTCCCCCCCGCCCTTGGCACTCGAGACCCTCGCCTTCCCATGCACTGGGGCCCCTCCCAGCACACGAGACTCTCTCCTTCCCGCGCGCGGAAGGCTCCCCCCCGCCCTCGGCACTCGAGACCTCTCGCCTTCCCATGCACTGGGGCCCCTCCCAGCACACGAGACGCTCTCCTTCCCGCGCGCGGAAGGCTCCCCCCCGCCCTTGGCACTCGAGACATCTCGCCTTCCGATGCACTGGGACCCCCCCCCCCAGCACTCGAGACTCTCGCCTTCCCGCGCGCTGAAGGGGAAGAGCCCCCCCCCATCCGGGCACTCGAGTGCCTACTCGCTACGTGGCAACGCCCGAGGGGCGCAACACATCGACTACGTTATAATCACCAGCCCGGGGGAAGACATACAAATTCGACTGCGCTCGCCAACGCGGCGTGCAACGCGGCAACGCGGCAACTGTACTCGTCACGCGGCAACGCCTGGGGGGAGGGGGGCGGAACAACAATCATGCCATTCAACTCGCCAAGAAGCCACGCAACAGGCCGGACAAACATACAAATTCACTCGACCCGGTTTGGGCAGGAAACATGCCGTTCTACTCGACTCGTCACGCAGCAGCGCCTGGGGGGGCGAAACACAGATTGTCCCATTGTACTCGCCAGGCGGTAACGCAGCAAAACGTTTCAATCGCCTCATCAACTTCACTCGTCAAGTGGCAAAACCACGGGACTCAAAAGACATTCCATGCCACTTTCTCTGGCCCGTGGCAGCGCATGGGGGCGACAGAAATACCATCGGGTATTCGACTCGCCGCGTGGCAACGCAGCGGGCCGGAAAACATACGATTCCACTCCACTCGTCACGAGGCAACGCCAGGGGTGCGAAACCAATGTTATTCCAGTATACTCGCTCGGCGGCAACGCAGCGGGGCGTCCAAATCGCCTCATCTACTTCACTCGTCACATGGCAAAGCCTGGGGAACGAACACCTACATACTATGCCGATCTACTTGAACAGGGCAGCGCCCAGGGGGCGAAACATTACAATTCAATTTAGCTCAACACGTGGCAACGCAGCGGGGCGGAAAACACTCAATTCGATTATCGGAAATTGGGGGTGAGGGTGGGATCGAAGTGGAACGGAGAGCCCCCCACCGGGAAATCGGTGTCGGTTTCGTGTTCGTGCGTGCCGCGCGTGCGGGCGAGGAGAAGCTGCGTAGGCGGGCGAGAAGAAAGTCTCCTGTGGCTGAGGCGCGGCCGGACCACATGATTCTCCCTCCGGCAAGCGGTGGCCCGCGGTGGCCCGCTGGTGTCCCGCTTGTGGCTGGGCCACGGCCGGACCAAATGACTCTCTTTCCGGCAAGCGGTGGCCCGCGGTGGCCCGCCGGTGTCCCGCAGGTGTCCCGGTGTCCCGCTGGTGCGAAAACGATAGTGAGACCGATGACGAAAACGATTGTGAGATCGATAGTGAAATCGATAATGAGACCGATAATGAGATCGATCGTGAGATCGACAATGAGATCGACAGTGAGATGAATAGTGATATCGGTTGTGAGTTCGAGTGATATCGACAGGGAGATCGTTAGTGGGATGTATAGCGAAATCCAGAGTGACATCGGCAGTGCAATCGATCGAGCGATATCGATAGTAAGATCGACCGAGTAAGATCGATAGTGGGACCGTGGTCCCATCGATCGTGAGACTGATAACGACATCGCTTGTGAGATCGATAGAGAGATCGATCGTGACATCGATGGTGAGATCGATCGTGAGACCGATAACAACATCACTTGTGATATCGATAGAAAGATCGATCACGCGGTGCAATGTCACGCCGCACCGAGGCCCCTGGAGGCCGCAGTGAAGGCTCCCGTTTCTTCATTATCGTCTCTGGGGGCCCTGTTCGCTTTCGGGCCCGTCCCATCTGAGAAAGGGGAGAGCAAGGAGGGTTCGGCTCAAGCAGGGTACTTAGTCCTCGCCGCGCCACTCCCGCACCTATTTTGGCCTGCGCAGCGCGACCTAGGCTTTGCTGATGAGCTGGCAGATCTGCGGGCGATGCTGTGAGCGGTGGGCGCGGCGCTCATCCGTGACAGCGTCTCCCGGCACTGCGAGGAGCAATCGGGCCGCAAAGCCATAGGCCTGTGGAGTATCGTGGCCTCGTTCCGCGCACAGAAACTGAGGAAGAAGAAAACCGGGCCAGGTTCTGCCAGCCCGCGGGAAAAGCGGCTCCGGCGGCAAGACCTCGTCGACACAGACGGGCACTCCGGGGCCCGCGGTTTCGGAAGCGGAGGCCGCGGCTGAGGCCTCTGCGGCGGCGACCATGATCGACATAGGCTTCAACGAGGTTGCCATCGCCCGTGCGTTGGAGCAGACGTCGTTCCAGTTCCGGCAAGCGGCGGTGCTCCTGCTCAACGGCCTGGACGCGCAGCGCATGAAATACGACACGCTCGAACGGTCCCGCCGCCATTGTGCCAAGACGGTCCGGACTCTGGACTGCTAAGTGTTGGGGGGTGGCGAAGTCCTGACCCAGTACTCGCAGCGCGCGCCATAAGTTGCAGTTCGACGCACAGGTGTGGGACCTGGGGCAGCATGCGGGCCGAACCATGGTGCGTGCTTCTGGATATGCCTCGCAGCAGGCCTGGCCGAACGCGGGCCGGATGTTTTGGCCCAGGCTTTGCCAGGCAACGCTCCAGCCCATCGAGCGGCAGGCCAACTGACAGCACAGGGTGTGCAGCGGTGTGTCGACGCTCGCGTGCGTCACTCGCCTTTGGGCGTGGTGGCGGAAGCTCTCCGGACCGGGTTGTGCGGCGTCGAAGCCGCCGTGCTGCTCAGAGCCGACATGAACAAATTATATACCCGGCCTTTGCTGGCCTGGATGTCCGGGGCCCCGTGTGCACCGAGGCGCTGTGCACTCACTGGGTACAGAAGCTGGCAACTAAACGGTACGCGGACGAGTTGGTCGTGATGTCGGCCGCCTTGGAGTTCGGCGTCCGCATCAGTGTCATCCGTTTCCCCCCACCGACGGCACTGGCGCAGTGGGCGGTCCCGTCTTATGGGCCAGAAAGCGCCACCGTTGTTGTTCACATGGGCAACAATGATTTGCATTATGTTAATCTATCGCGGGAATCGCAATGCCGCCTGACGCCCGCACCAGACTTTGCCAGTGTGTCGCCGCTCCGCCTCGTCTTGCAGCACACGGCACGCACAGACGCTGCCCGGCGCTCGGACTATAGGGTGCGCCAGACCTTGCCTTCGCTTTTGCGTCGTCCATTGCCGCCGCCTCCGCGTCCGTCGCCTGTGGGACGCTGTGAGGCATCCGCCGCCGGCCCGCTCCCGCCGCCTTTCCGTTCCGATGTTCGACCGCGCGGTTCCGGAAAAGCAGCAAGCGTGCGCCATCCCCGAAAGGCTCCCAAGAGGCTCCCAAGAGGCCCCCAAGAGCCCCCCAAGAGGCCTCCAAAAACCCCCCAAGAGGTCCAAATGACGCGCCCAAACGGCCCCCCAAGCTCTTGCAAAATGAACCTAATAAATTATTATTTCGTTGGTTCCTGGGGGGGGGAGAATGATACCAAGGCGCCCAAGAGCGAAGGATGACGTAAACAACTCGACACCAAGGCTCCCAAGAGCGAGCAGCAACGCAACAATCACCACTGATGCCCATTGCTGGCCCCCCTCCCCCCCCAACCTCCTTATCAGCCGCAGGGTGGTCGTATAGGTACTCGCCAGTGGCAACGCCAACGGCTGTGGGTGTGAAGGAAATATGATTCCACGCGGCGTGGCGGAAGAAAACGCCCACGCCACTTTGCTCGTCACGTGTGGCAGCGCCTGGAGAGCGGAAGAAGTTCCACGCCGCTCTGCCCTGCACGTGGCAACGCCGGAGAGGCGACACAGCACGAGCCGAGCCTGGTCGCCACGTGGGGAAATACCGAATTCGACTCTACTCGCCAACGCATCGCGCTGGACACAAATCGGGGAGACGTAAGACCCGGGTGCGGGGGACTCGGAAATCCCCGACGAGGTCGTCAAAAAAATGACGAGGCCGAGCCTGCATTTTGACGAGGCCTCCCGCTGCAGACATCCCACGAAACTCCTCCTCGTCAAAATCCGAATCGCGGTCGTCAAAAAACGATGGCGAACCCGAGTCCTGGCAAACCCGGGTCTTACGCTCCCCCGAACAAATACCATGCTCCTCGAGTGCCGGGAGGGGATGGGGCCCCTTCCGCTCGGCAGAAGGCGAGAGGGAGACGAGCGCCCCGGCGAGGAGAGGGCCGCCCCCCCCCCTCCAGCGCGCGGGAAGGAGAGAGAGCCCAGGCCGCCGAGGGGGGCAGGGGGGCAGGGGGGGGGAAGGAGAGCGTCTCGCGTTCCGCAGGGATGTGTGTGGGGGGGGGGAGGAGGGAGGAGGAGGAGGGAGGAGGAGGGAGGGAGGAGGAGGGAGGAGGAGGGAGGAGGAGGAGAGGAGGAGGAGGAGGAGGAGGAGGAGAGAGGAGGAGGAGAGGAGAGAGGAGGAGGAGGAGGAGGAGGAGGAGGAGGAGGAGGAGGAGGGAGGAGGAGGAGGAGGGGGGAGGGGGGGGGGGGGCGCGCGCGTGAAGGAGGGAATCTCGATTGCCCAGGGGGGGAGCAGCGGCAGCGCGCGGGGGACAGGGGGAGAGCCTCTCGAGTGCCGGGGGGGGAGCGGGGAGGGGCGCCCCCCGCGCGCGGGAAAGAGGAGAGTCTCAACCGGGGGGGGGGGCACTTTCGCCCTACAGCCCCCTCCCCTCCCCCCTCCCCCCTTTCGTGTGCCAAGGGGGGGGGCCGTCGCGTTCATGAATTGTCGATCGCTCTATCCGACCACGCAACGTCGACTACGCAGTGGCAACAACGCAATGTCCACTACAGAGTGTCGGCCACGCCGAGTCGACTGCGCAGTGTGATCTACGCATGGTCAACAACACGTGGTACAAAAACCACTGTCAATCGCGCTATGCCAACCACCAAAATCGCAGTGGCAACTACACAGTGGCAACTACGCAGTGCCAACAACGCAGCGGCAGCAGCGTGGTGTCAGCAACGCGCTCCCGACAGCGCAATGCCAATAACGCAGCGTCACAAACGGAAGGCCATTAACGTGGTGCCGACGACGCAAGATCAACACCGAAAATATCAACTACCCCTTGGCAACTTCACAATGTCAACTGAGCAGAGTCCACCAGACATTTCGCACCGGGTAACCATTCTCAGTAACACATGGCCAGCAGCGAAAGCAACATGGCACCCACAATGCAATGCAGAAAAGCGTAGTGTCCGCAAAACAAGTGTAAACTACGCAATGCCAGTCAAGTACGCGGTGCTCTCAGAAACTTGTCGGCAACGCAGCGTTGACAACAGAGCATCATCAACGCAGTTCAGGCCGCGCAATGCTAAATAATCAACGTCAAAAATGCGTTAACGCTGTCGTCTCGTCAGCGGCCAAGAGCCGAATACGCCGTGTCGACAGCGCAGTGTCAAACAGATAGTGTCAACGAGCGCAGTGTCGACAACGCAGCGACACCCATTCTATGCCGACTGCGCAATGTCAGCAGCGCCGTGCCAGCAACACGACGTCAACAAGCAGTGTCCACAACGAGCCGTCAACAGCGAAGTGACAACTCCGCAAGGCCAGGTACGCAGTGCCAACACAGCAACGCCAACAACGCAATGCCACTTACGAAATGGCAACGACGCCGCGTCTGTCACGCACGCATGGCCAACAACGCAGCGACAACAACGCAACACACAGAACGCAATGTCAACTACGTAGTGCCAACACTGAAATGCCAAACACGCAGTGTGAGAAACGCTGCATCAACAATAAGGCACCCACAGCGCAATGCTAAATACATAGTGACAACAACGAATTCCAGCTAGGCTGCCGGTTTCTACAAAGTGTCAGAAGGTCCACGCAATTGCAACGACGCGACGGTTTCTGCAAAGTGTCGGCAATGCGACGTGAACCATGGAGTGCGAATGAATGCAGAAAGATGAAAGCAGCGTGAACAAAACGCAATGTCGGCCGCGCATTGCGAACTATTCAACGTCGAGCGTGCATAATGCTGGCGCTGCGTTACCAGCACAGTGCCGACTGAGCGATGTCAAAACGTGGTGTCAAATGTAGTCCATGCAACGTCAGCAAAGCGAAGCCATGTCGAAATGGGGGCTGCCTTTGCGCTTGCCCGTTGTTTTGGAGCCCAGGGCGCTGGGCCAAGCAGGAAGACGGCGCATCTAAAAAGACATCTTGAGCAGTTGAGGGCCCGCCGCAAAAAGGAGCAGCTCAGGGCCGCGTGCTCAAAAACAAGCAGAAGCTCGTCGAAATTACATTGCACTACATTCAGCTCTCGCTCGTTTTGAAGTGTTTGGTTTCACTGTCGCCTGTTGTTGAACACGTGGATTTGAATGATGAGATTTGGCGGCCGCGCCCACCCCAAGACAAATGACGCGTCCAAAAACGTTGCTCGAGGATGCGACATGGTTCGCGGGGCCGCAGAGAAACATCGCGCGCCAACTTACAAACTTTACATGTTGCGTTTCTCCTTCTCATTCCCCTCACCATCGCTACGCACTGTCAACCACACAGTGCCAACTTCGCAGGTTCCATTGCGCCATTTTCAACCATGCGCCCACAGTGCACGAAATAATCACCAACGCAACGTTCATCACGTGCCCAGAATCCACAAAGCAATCAACAACGCAGTGCAGTGTCAACGACGCAACATCAAAACAACGCGCTGTTGGCACTGCGTAGAAAACACTGCGTTGCTGAAATCATGTCCCTGTCACTGTCCCTGCTTATACCCCATTGCCAGGGACGCGCCACACCCGTCAACCAGCATAGCAGGGGTCATCCGGAGGGTCAGCAACGCAAGCCCTTTCTTGGGGCGGGGCAGCCCTGGGCGTCCACCACCGAGGTCGCCCAGCTGCCCCCGGCGCCGAGGCCAGACGCCAGCCCTCCGAGAGGGCGCTGGCTGCCGAAGGCCTCTAGCCGCTGGCCGTCCGCGGGGCGTCGCGACGCCTCAGGGCGCTCGGCGCCCGGCGGGGCCAAGGCTCAGGTAGGCGCTCGGCGCCTTGCGGAAGCCTCCCCGGTAGGCGCTCGGCTCGCCTGCGGCGCCGCCGCCTGGCGCTGGGGCGCGGTCCTTCGGGGGGCCGCCGGGCGCCACACTGGCGGGGTGCGGGTGCGCACGGGGGGGGGGGGGGCCGAAGGCGCTGGCTGCAGGGGGGTACAATTACGCTACCGAGGAACCCCACATACTTAATTTAAATCTTATGTGCTTGCTTAAGTTTATCATATATGCGCAATTCTGCGTTCTCACCCCTCGTCGCGAATGTTCCCCTCTGTGTCATCCAACGCCATATTGCTTGAACCTCCTCCCTCTTCCTAGCCTTCTATCCTCCATCGAGGACAGATTCGAGCCAGCCAGCGGCCGCGGTGAGGGACCACCCCCTGCGCACCCTCTATGGTGTCGAGAAAGTGCCACGCCTGCTATGCCCTGGACGACCGTCGTGCATGGCGGCCGCGGTGAGGGACCACCCCCTGCGCAGCCTTTATGGTGTCGAGAAAATGCCGCGCCTGCTATGCCCTGGACGACCGTCGTGCATAGCGGCCGCGGTGAGGGACCACCCCGGTGAGAGACCACCCCCTGCGCACCCCCTCTCGAGTCGAGAAAGTGCCACGCCTGCTAAGCCCTGCGACATTGGCGCGTATAGAGGCCGCGGTGAGAGACCACCCCCGTGCGCACCCCCTCTGGTGTCGAGAAAGTGCCACGCCTGCTAGGCCCTGCGACATTGGCGCGTATAGGGGCCGCGGTGAGAGACCACCCCCTTGCGCACCCCCTGCGGTGTCGAGAAAGTGCCACGCCTGCTAGGCCCTGCGACATTGGCGCGTATAGGGACCGCGGTGAGAGACCACCCCCTGCGCACCCCCTCTGGTGTCGAGGAAGTGCCACGCCTGCTAGGCCCTGCGACATTGGCGCGTATAGGGACCGCGGTGAGAGACCACCCCCTTGCGCACCCCCTGCGGTGTCGAGAAAGTGCCATGCCTGCTAGGCCCTGCGACATTGGCACGTATAGGGACCGCGGTGAGAGACCACCCCCGGCGCACCCCCTCTGGTGTCGAGAAAGTGCCACGCCTGCTAGGCCCTGCGACATTGGCGCGTATAGGGACCGCGGTGAGAGACCACCCCCTGCGCACCCCAGGCCCTGCGACATTGGCGCGTATGGAGACCGCGGTGAGAGACCACCCCCTGCGCACCCCCTCGGGTGTCGAGAAAGTGCCACGCCTGCTAGGCCCTGCGACATTGGCGCGTATAGGGACCGCGGTGAGAGACCACCCCCTGCGCACCCCCTCTGGTGTCGAGAAAGTGCCACGCCTGCTAGGCCCTGCGACATTGGCGCGTATAGGGACCGCGGTGAGAGACCACCCCCTGCGCACCCCCTCCGGTGTCGAGAAAGTGCCACGCCTGCTAGGCCCTGCGACATTGGCGCGTATAGGGCCGCGGTGAGAGACCACCCCCTGCGCACCCCTCCGGTGTCGAGAAAGTGCCACGCCTGCTAGGCCCTGCGACATTGGCGCGTATAGTCGAGAGAAGTGCCACGCCTGTCCCCGCACCCCCTCTGGTGTCGAGAAACGCCTGCTAGGCCCTGCGACATATAGAAACCGCGGTGAGAGACCACCCCCTGCGCACCCCCTCCGGTGTCGAGAAAGTGCCACGCCTGCTAGGCCCTGCGACATTGGCGCGTATAGGGACCGCGGTGAGAGACCACCCCCTGCGCACCCCCTCCGGTGTCGAGAAAGTGCCACGCCTGCTAGGCCCTGCGACATTGGCGCGTATAGGGACCGCGGTGAGAGACCACCCCCTGCGCACCCCCTCTGGTGTCGAGAAAGTGCCACGCCTGCTAGGCCCTGCGACATTGGCGCGTATAGGGACCGCGGTGAGAGACCACCCCCTGCGCACCCCCTCCGGTGTCGAGAAAGTGCCACGCCTGCTAGGCCCTGCGACAGTGGCGCGTATAGAGACCGCGGTGAGAGACCACCCCCTGCGCACCCCCCTCCGGTATCGAGAAAGTGCCACGCCTGCTAGGCCCTGCGACATTGGCGCGTATAGAGACCGCGGTGAGAGACCACCCCCTGCGCACCCCCTGTGGTGTCGAGAAAGTGCCACGCCTGCTAGGCCCTGCGACATTAGCGCGTATAGGGGCCGCGGTGAGAGACCACCCCCTGCGCACCCCCTCTGGTGTCGAGAAAATGCCACGCCTGCTATGCCTGGACGACCCTGGCACGCATAGGGAGACCCCCCCTGCGCACTCAGCTAAGCTGAGCCGAGCTGTGCTGTGCCGTGCTGTGCTGAGCTGAGGTGAATGAGCGCGGGTGCGGCGCGGCAGGGAAGAGAAGGAGAGGGAGGAGAAGGTGGAGGAGACGCGGGTGAGACGCGGAAGGGAAGAAAACCAGAACCCCACGAAGCATGTGGGGAATAACCAGAGCGGGCGACGAGGAGCCAAAGAGCTCCCCGACCACAGGGCCGTCGCGTCCTCCTCCCTCCTCCTCCTCCTCCTCCTCCTCCTCCTCCTCCTCCTCCTCGTCCTCCTCCTCCTCGTCCTCCTCCTCCTCCTCGTGCTCCTCCTCCTCCTCCTCCCCTCCTCCTCCATCTCTGCGGTCGTCTTGCTGAGACGGTCCAAGATCGCGCAGTCAGGACGGCAGTGGGCGTCGACTGTGACAGAGGAGCTTCCCATCCTTAGCCCACGGGTCGGGAGCCAGCACGAACCCTGACATGGTCCCTCTCGTCCTCCTCATAGAGACCGAAGGGCCCCTGGACCGTTTGGAGGCCTCAATGTTTCTGCTACGCATGCCCTTCGTGGCAAGGTCTCGCGAGGTCCTCACGCCCCTCCGTTTCCTCGTGGGCCTCCCTAGTTGCCCTCCCCCTCTTGCGTCCCATCATCTGTCTTACTTTCCTTAGATTGGCCCTGTCTCATCTAACTTGGTACACTTGGGGTGCTGTGTGCTTAGTACATAATAAGCACCCCACGTCTCGCTTCGATGCTCGTCCTTGTGCTTCAGTGGATGCGATCGTACGGTCAAGCTCTGGAACCACATCCACAATATATATACATATATATAGTATATAATTATGGCGCCCCGTGGGGCCCAAGCGGGACAATTATTCATATTGCTGCCTTGATCTGGTACGATGAGCCAGTACAGGTTGGAGCATAATCTCCCCCTGTCGATCTTCATTCTTCTCTTCTGGGGGGGCAGGAGGAACAGGCTGAGCTTGGGTGGGCACGTGGCACGAGCACTTGCTCGGCACTGGCGCTCTTGCTTGGCTCCTTGAGTCCTTGGGTTCCTTCGGAGCAATCCCGCTTGCCATACCGCGCTGCAGAACCTGAAGGCTGTTCGTGATGCGTTCGACCTGCTCGCTGCTGAGCTTCCCGACACGAGTTGCTACTTCTGCGCTGGCGTCGACTGCGAACCCGTGATGTTTAACCCGCAGCGTCGCCAGCGCCTCCAGGGCATTGACGATCTCCACGTCGTCGAGCTCGGTCAGCCTTGGGCGAAGCTCGTTGAGGACCGATTTCAGGAAGACCTTGTGCTTGAAATCGCACCGCGACATCGCATACACGATTCTGGTTATATCGTGAACACGGAATTCGTGGAGCTTCCCGGCTAGGCTCTCCGAGACGGGCTCAAAGAAACCACGGTGCGAGAACTTCAACCTGCCCATGGCACACACTAAATTCGATATGTCCATCTGGTCGAACTCGTCTAAGCGTGTCGGGACGTGCTCACAAACCGCTTTCAAGAAAGGCTCGTGTCTGAAACTCAATCTGCACAGAGCGTACGTGATCATCGCGATCTGCAGCGCGGAGAAGAACTCCAGCCTCTGACCTACCCGCCGCAGAATACCGCTGATGAATGCTTCACGCTTCCACTTCAAGGCGCCCATTGCGTAAAATATACTGGCCACCTCACTCGGGTTGAACTCATCGATACCGCGCTTCTCCAACTCATGGTGGAGCCTGTTCAGAAGGATGTTCACCTCGACAGAGGGCCCGTCCGCAAACTTCGCCAGCCTGTGCCAGCACGTGGCAATGTTGCTGTTCCCCCAATACGACATGTTGCTCCTGAGGGCCCACCGCGTGATGTCGTCCAATCTCCTGGCCCTCACGAGGTCCTCCTGCACTTTGAACGGTATCTGCGGGGGGTCTGATGGGGGGTGTCAGGAAGAGCAGGGCAGGTAAACAAAGAACGGCTCCCGAGTCGCTCGAACCGCGCAGCGCGCAGGTATATTCAAAAAGGAGGGCGGGAAGGAGTACGGAGTACGAGGAGGACATGTGAAATTCAGCGGGGAGGAGTATGAAGAAAACAAGTTGCACGCGCGCGTGCAGGATCGTACAGTCTGCGGGAAAGGCAAGAGACGTCTGGAAAGTGGCTTTGGAGTCAGACGGGGTGGGGACATGTATTCATAAGAGGACGGGGGAGGATGCCCGAAGGGCCGAAAGAGGGGGCGGACGAACAACGCAACCAACGTGAGGACCAACTGATCCAAGAAGCACATGTGCCGTGGCTCTTGCACGAGGGAGCGAGAGACAAGAAGAGAATGAGGGCGAAGAAAAGTGGAGACTCTTGGGGCTATCATGGAACGATCTTGGCGCCAATGTGGGCTCTTTCGGGGCCTTTGATAGCCAGGTCGGGACCCCTTTTGTCTTGATAAGGCCAGGTTGGAGGGCCTCGGAGCGGGTTGCCTTGGGGGCCGTCTTGGGGCTGGCTCGGGGGCCATATTGGCCCATCTGTGGGACATCTGGGGCAACCTTGGTGACTCGGAAGGCCTCCTTGGACCTTCTCGGAAGCTCCTCGGGCCTGTCTCGAAGCCACCTTGAGCTGGAAAAGACATCATACAATGTGTGGGACAAGCATCTGGGCTTACACTAGGTTCAAACCTCGGGATTCTTCCCTAAACTATGTCAGGGCCCCTTCGAGCGAATGATGGATGAATCATAGCCTGCTGGTCTCCTGAACCCACGAGGCCAGTCGAAAACATCTGACGCAATGACACTGGTGATGTCCACAAGAGCCCGAAGTGCAGGCATGTCTCCCCAGTATCTAGATCCTCGAGCGGCTAAAAGATGTCTGAGGCCCTAGGAGCTGACTCTTTGCGAAATAACAGCATGTGTGCAGGTATAGGGCGAGGAAGACGATGAGAATGGGGCAGACGGGCGGAGAAACAAGGGGCAGATGTGGAAGCACATGCGCTTTCCTAGGTGTCTATTCTGGGAGCTCTGGAGTGGGAATGCACGAGTGCAGAATCGATGGGGTAGGATATGGAGGGCTGCAATGAGCGACCGCCAACAGAGTTGACGATCGTCGAGCCCTCTCCGAATGCTTCCAGATCCCCCAGAAACCATGGATGCACCTCTAGGTGTTCTCGCTCCGGTCCGTGAGACACGGGCTGGGTGTCGCCCGGCTCCCGGCCGGTGCCCGCGCGGGCGACTCGTGGGCTCCCCGTGCGCTGCGTGGGGGCCGCTGGGGGCTGCGTCTGGTGGCCCCGGCCGGCCGCCGGCCGTGGGCCCCTCGTGGGCGCTCTCCGCGCCCTGCACGGTGGGCCCGCCGGGAGGTCGCCCGGGGGCGGCCCGTGGGCGCGGCGTGCGCCGGCCGAGTCCGCCGACGTTTCGCACGGTGGCCGCCCGTGGGCTCCCCCGCGTTTGGGTCCGAGGCAGGCTGCGCCGCACGGCCTGCGCCACGTCGTCAGCTTGCACCACAATGCAGCTCGCATCGCAGGTACAGTCGGACTCGATCGGAGAGGACACGCGAGAGGACGCGAGACCCTTCCGAGGGCCACGTTGTCACAGAAATGCAGGAGGCATGGGTCGCAAGACACAGGACACGAGGGTACCCTTGATGTGGCAGGGTCGACCTACTAATCCGGCCCGCCTGTATTGAACCACCCAGCTTGAACCACGTAGATTGCACCATGTTGCACTGAATAGCTCCTACAGCACAGATTGCAGCACATGCCTTGCACCACGTAGATTGCACCACATGGCTTGCATCACATAGACAGTACCTCGCATATTGTCCCGTGGAGACAGCCGCACACGCATGACGCATCCAGAGAGCAATGACGCACTGCTTGGGGTCGACGCTGGCAACCATGCTCTTAGATCTAAGCTGATACTACCGGCCGTTCCTTTCTTCCTCGCGCTGGCCCTGGTGTACAAAGCGGGTCTCGCGCGCCCATCCTCTCCCACCCGCGTACTCGTGCCGCTGACGCGCCTCTCTCCTGTTTGGCAGTTTGGGCATGCAACGGTGCCGCCAGTCGAGGGCATGGTGGTCAAAGGGCGCCGACACACGTCGGCTACCCCTCGGTCCTCCCCTGTCTTCGACTTCGTCTCAAAGCAAGGCGGTCAACACGTACCCACTTCTTGTCGGCAGGGATACCAGTATAGACTCGGCTAGGACGCGCCACCTCCCAACACATACACCAGCCCCGCGCTATCGGCCAAGTTGGTGCTGGGATTGCCTGAACCCTCGTGCCAGCCAAGCATCACCTGCCGCCAAATACGAAAACTAGATCCCCAGAGTTGGTGGGGTGGGCGCGGGGAAGCGAACTTCCTCCCTCCGTCTGGGCAATACTTACGGAAAGGGGTTCCCAGTAGCTACACGCATGGAGGGCGGGTCGCTGCCAGCATCAGACCCTCGCTTGAGACTTCCTCGTGATTGGTGGTCCCATATATTCCGCCATGAGTGTTTACATGTCGCCGCGCCGGTTGTTTTGAACGCCCCAAAGTCGACAAAAGTCGGCACCACGGCAAACCCTACGGCGAACCTCGTGCCCGATGCGGAGTTCGCTGTGGTGGCCGACACGCCCTATCAACGGAGTAAGGCCGCGCGTCGGAGGAAACGGCGCGGGGAAACGTGAGGGCAACCCGTTGCACAGGTACCTAAAGCTGAGTATAACTGAGATTGCAATCCCTCTTTGCTGCACTGATGGGGGACGACTTCTTGTCAATGCCGTGCTGTCGCGCGGGCATCGCGCACAGGCTCACGAAGTGTGTGAAGGCTGATTGGAAGACGATCTCCTCTCAAACTGACTACTCGTTGAGACGTGCCGTGAGCAAACCTGGGCACGTGACCATTCGTTTCAGCTTAGAAACTTTCATCGCGCACGTCCATCGGAACATCGCCCGTTTAGCTGGCGCTCGCCGTCATCGCACTACTTAACCCACTCCCACACTGCCGCCAATCATCCTCCCTACTCTGCTAATTTCCTTCGAGGTAATGATGATTTTATGGATGTAACTCGAGCTGCAGATAAGCTACAAAGCTCTTTGGCACAGCAATCGGAAGGAAATCATCAAGCGCGCTAGTGTAAAATATCTAGATGCCCAAACTCGGTCTGCTACCAGAACTGGGTCCGAACAACTATTCGTGCTCGGCAATGTTTGGAGATGGTGATGGTTTTCTTGACTGAACTCGAGGAATCATCAGAAACGCTAATCTCAAGTATCTAGATGTCCGAACTGGGTCTGTTACCTGAGCTGGGTCCGAAAAACTATTCGTGCTCTGCAGAATGTTTCAGAGATGATGATGCTTTTCTTGACCAAACTCGAGCTGCAAATACGCTACAAAATTGTTTGTCACAATAATCGTAAAACAAATCATTTGAATCGCTAGTCTAACGTATCTAGGTGCCTCATGCTCTTCCTCCTTCCCCTATTTCTCGTATCCACCTCCCTCCGCCATCCCCATCCCCTCCCTGTTCCTCCCCACGCCTTTCCTTTCCTCTCACATCCCCATTTACTCCGTCTTTTGCCGCCACCCTTCTTTCCCTGTTCTTCGCAATCCCTTCTTCCTCATTTCCCCTCGCCCCACCTCCCCTTTTCCCCCGCAACTCATCATGCGCGGCCTATTCTTCCACGTTCATCCTGACATTGTGGTCTACACTATTAACTCCGACCTGCTCCTGGTCTGTTTCGTCCTCTCCTTCCCGTCACCTTCCTTGTTTCTTCGCCCTTCCTTTCTTTCCGTTCCCCCCTCGCCTCCTGGGGGCTCCCTCTGGAACTTCCAGGGGCCTCCTATGGAGCCTCGAGGGGGCCTCTTGGCGCCGCGGCGCCCCCCCAGGGCACCGGCTCCGCGTTGACTTCGCCGACAGCATATGGATTCCAATGGCGCTTCCGGAACTCCTTCCACTGGAGCGGCTGCGCGGCCGCAACGCCCTCCTTGCGGGGAGTCGGCCGGGTGGAACACCCGGGGGCGGGCATCACACTTTCCCCAAGCGCAAGCAAGCCCCGTGGCGAAACGCAAGGAGGATAACAACTTACTCGACGCGGAGTTCCCCATATGTGCATCTCATAGTGATGGCAAACTTCGGTAGAAGACAATGTCCTTTTCAATATTCAGCGAATCCACGTGGAAAGCGAGGCCGAGAGAGACGCCGACGACTACGACGACTTTAAGTCGTTGCTTCCTCCTTCCCTCATCCTCCTCTTCCTCTCCTTTGTCCTCCTCCTCTTTCTCCTCCTTTTCCCTATGAACGCCTGAAGAAACTCAACCCGTGAAGACGAAAACGGGCCCGTGCAATACCCCCTGGCGCCCCCTCTTGGGAATGCTGAAACCAGCGCGTCGCCTGAGACATCCTGTGAGAGTGCTCCGAAAGAGAAGGATGTTGGGCACCCAAATCAGGCAAACCGCCTGAGACATCCCCCCAATCTGGGCGCGAACGGGCCCGTGCAATACCCCCTGGCGTCCCCCCTTGGGAATGCTGACACCAGCGCCACGCTTGCGACATCCGTGGGAACTGCTCCGAAAGAGAAGGATGTTGAGCACCCAAACAAGCAAACCGCCTGAGACATCCCCCAAATCTGGGCGCGAACGGGCCTGTGATACACCCCCTGGCGCCCCCCCCTTGGGAGTACTTAAACCAGCGCCTCGCCTGAGACATCCTCGGGCACTGCTCCCAAAGCGGAAAATTTCAAGCACCGAAGCAAGCAAACCGCCTGAGACATCCCCACCATTCCGGCGCGAACGGACGAATGCAATACCCCGAGGCGGCTCCCCTTGGGAGTACTGAAACCAGCGCCTCGCCTGAGACATCCGCGGAAACTGCTCCAAAAGCGGAAGATGTTGGGCACCGAAATTATTCACTGCGTGGAGCTCCCCATATGTGCATCTATTCGCATGGACCTGTCCGCCGTGAATGTCTAGGCGCAAGAGCTTTCGAATATAAACGGGCTTCAGTTGTGACGGTCTGGACATAAATCTAACTGCGAATGAATTGGAGTGTGAATGAGCCTCAGTCGTACGAGCGCGTCTCTGTGCATGAGCCTGGGGCCTCCTGGGGCCTCCTGAAATCTACTGGGGCTTCCTGGGGTCTCCAGGAGCCTCTTGGGGCCTCCTGGGACCTCCTAGGGAGGTTTCGTGCCCCAGGAGAGGCGCAATATATAGCAACAAACGTACATAAAATATTGCGGATTAGAGCCACAAGAGAAGGGCAATCTATAGGAACACGCGTAAAACACCAAGGACTCGTGCCCCAGGAGAGGCCCAATATATAGGAACATAAATAAAGCATGTAGGATTGTGTACACAGGAGAAGGACAATTTATATATATATATATATATATAAAAAAAAACATACGTATAACATCAAAGAATCGTGCTCCAGGTGAGGCCCAATCGATAGGAGCATACGTAAAACACATGGGACTGGAGCCACTCCTGTTGCCTTCTGAGGCCTCCTGCTCCTGGGGCCTCTCGGGGCCTCCTGTTGCCTTCCGAGGCCTCCTGGCGCTTTCCTGTTGCCTCCTGGGGCCTCCTGTGGTTTCCTGAGGCCTTCTGGAGCTTCCTGGGGCCTCCTGGAGCCTCTTGGGACATCCTGTGGCCTCTTGAGTCTTTCTGTGGCCTCCTGATGCCTCCTGGGACCTCATGTGGTCTCCTGGGGCCTCCTGGAGCCTGTTGGAGCCTCCTGTGGCATCCTGAGAAGAATCTGCGCCCACGAGCCTGGCCACCCAAACAAGCAAACCGATCGAGACATCCTCAAAATCTGGCCCACCTGGGGGGTGAACATGAGCGCCTCGCTCGAGACATCCTCCAAATCTGCTCAGAAAGCGAAGGATGTTGGCACAGAAGACAGGCAAGCCGCTCGAGACATCCCCACAAAGTCCTGCGAAAGGGGCCGAGTGAAACACCCCCCCGCCGCTCCCTTAGGAACGTGAAACTGAGCGCCTCGCTCGAGACATCCTCCAATGTTCCGAAAACGAAGGATGTTGGGACAGAAAACAGGCAAACCGCTCGAGACATCCCCACACCATCATGCGAAAGGGGCCGAGTGAAACACCCCCCCGCCGCTCCCCTTAGGAGTGCTGAAGCCACAGAATCGCCTGAGACATCCTCAACATCAGTGTGTGTGTGTGAGTCATCCGATGAGTGGACCTGGGTGAGTGTAGTGGATGAGTGGCGGCCTCCCTTGAGAGTACTGAATCCAGCGCCTCGCCCGAGACATCCTCACAACGTGCGTGTGAGTCTGAGCGCGGAAGTGCCAGGAGTGTGAGTGAGTCTGCATCTGGGTGATCCCGAGTATGAGGAACCCGAGTATCAAGAACCCAAGAGCGAGTGTATCTATATATGAGTGAGTCTGAATTTAAGTGAGTCTATATGTGAGTGAGTCAGAGAAAGATGACCTGAGGGTTGGAGGTGTTGAAGGTGGTCTCTCTCTCGTTCTTGCGTTCCGCGCGGTCTAAGCAAATACTCGACGCGGAGATACCCGTATGTGCATCCCATAGTGATGGCAAACTTCGGTAGAAGACAATGTCCTTTTCAATATCCGAGTGTCAGCGAATCCACGTGGAAAGCGAGGCCGAGAGAGACGCCGACGACTACGACGACTTTAAGTCCTTGCTTCCTCCTTCCCTCCTCCTCCTCCTCTCTTTTGTCCTCCTCCTCTTTCTCCTCCTTTTCCCTCTGAACGCCTCGAGGAAATCCACCCGTGCAGACGACAACGGGCCCGTGCAATACCCCCTGGCGCCCCCTCTTGGGAATGCTGACACCAGCGCGTCGCCTGAGACATCCTCGGAAACTGTTCTGAAACATGAAAAATGTCGAGCACCCAAAGAGGAAAACCGCCCGAGACATCCCCCCCATCTGGGCGCGAACGGGCCCGTGCAATACCCCCTGGCGCCCCCCCTTGGGAGTGCTGAAGCCAGCGCCTCGCCTGAGACATCCTCAGACACTGCTCCAAAAGAGAAGGATGTTGGGCACCCAAACCGGCAAACCGCCTGAGACATCCTCCCAATCTGCGCTTGAACAGGCCTGTGATACACCCCCTGGCGCCCCCTCTTGGGATACTGAAACCAGCGCCTCGCCTGAGACATCCTCGGACACTGCTTCGAAAGAGAAAGATGTCGGGCACCCAAACAAGCAAACCGCCTGAGACATCCTCCCAATCTGGGCGCGAACGGGCCCGTGCAATACCCCCTGGCGTCCCCCCTTGGGGATACTAAAACCAGCGCCTCGCCTAAGACATCCTCGGACACTGCTTCGAAAGAGAAGTATGTTGGACACCCAAACCGGCAAACCGCTTGAGACATCCTCTCAATCTGGGCGCGAACGGGCCTGTGAGATACGCACCCTGGCGCCCCCCCTGGGAGTACTGAAACCAGCGCCTCGCCTGAGACACCCTCGGAAACTGCTCCCAAAGCAGAAGATGTCGGGCACCAAAACAAGCAAACCGCTCGAGACATCCCCGCCATTTTGGCGCAAACGTAGGAATGCAATACCTCCTGGCGGATCCCCCTAGGAGGCGAAAATGAGCGCCTCGCTTGAGACATCCTCCAAATCTGAACAGGCAAACCGCTCGAGACATCCCCTCCATTTTGGCGCGAACGGAGGAATGCAATACCCCCTGGCGGCTTCCCCTTGGGAGCAAAAATGAGCGCCTCGCTCGAGACATCCTCCAAATCTGCTCCGAAAGCGGAGGATGTCGGGTGCCAAAACAGGCAAACCGCTCGAGACATCCCCGCCATGTTGGCGCCAACGGAGGAGTGCAATACCCCCTGGCGCCCCCCCTTGAGAGTACTGAAACCAGCGCCTCGCCTGAGACATCCTCACAACGTGTGTGTGAGTCTGAGCGCGGAAGTGCCATGAGTGTGAGTGAGTCTGCATCAAGAACCTACGCGAGTGTATCTGAGTATGCGTGAGTCTGAATATGAGTGAGTCTACATGTGAGTGAGTCAGAGAATGATGACCTGAGTGTGGGAGGTGTTGAGGGTGGGAGGTGTGTTCCCTCTCTCTCTCTCTCTCGCGCGCGTTCCGCGCGGTCGATGTAATAACAAGAATCCCATCCTCAGGATATGGGGAATAACAAGAACATAATCCTTAGGATATGGGTCGGAAAAGGAGGATGAGGATGAGGATGAGGAGAAGGAGGAGGAGGAGGACGACGACGACAACGAGGAGGAGGACGAGGGGAGGGGAGGGGTGGAACAAAACGTACCAGCTCAGCCCGGAGCTGCCTGCGATAGCCTCCCTCTGGCAGCACCGCCACTGCCACGAGCCGCCGGCGCAGCTCAGCACGCCTTTCCGCGTCCTGGCCCCGCGGCCCGCTCCGACGGGGCCGGCAGGAGCGCGGCAGCCCGAGGCGGCAGCGAGCGTGCCCAGCCGCGGCAGGGCCGCCAGCGCAGGGCCGCCGTGACGCACTGGACGCCTGCGACCCCAGCGGGCCCCCTGCGAGGCCGCGCTGCGGCTTCCGGGCGCCGCCTCCGAAGAGAGCCCTGGCGGCCTCGGCGGCGCCGCGATGCGGCAGACCCTGCCCCGCTGCCCGAGGCCGCCATGGCCTGCGCCACCACCTACCGTGGGCGGGGAGTGAGCGGATGTCGACGCGGTTGCTGACCTTCCGCCCATGCCAACACAGGGCCGCGCCAGCGATGCTCTCTGCCAGGGCCTCGCCAGCAATACTCTCCGCCAGGAGCGGGCATTACCGGGGATCCTCGTCGAAGACATGGGCGATCGCGGCCCCTTGACACAGGGCACGTGCAGTCCTCTCCCTGGGCTGTCTGTTCCTGTTGTGGCCGCCAGGTGATGGAGGGGCCATGGGCGCAGAGTGCACCCAGGGCCTGAAACCGCCGCAGGGCCCCCCCCCACCCCATTCGGGGATGGACAGACCTCCCTTTAGTAAAACGTGGTGTAGTGAAAACGACCTGAGGCCCAAACCTGGCGGGCGCAGGCCTGGAAAATAACGGCCACGGCGCCCTCTTGAGAACCGAAAACGGACAATTCACTAATCGACGTGTCACTATTGGGTGTTCTGTCCACCCCCGACCCATCTGGAGCCACTTCGGCGTGGCCCCCCTCCTGTCGCCGAGGTGTGCAGCCGCCGGGGCCCGACTCCGGCAGAGCCGCGGGGATGGGGCCCCTATTCGATCGGCCGCCGAGCGGGCCCGATCGAAGGGGCCGCTCGGCGGCCTCGGGGAATGGGCTACGGCACGTCGAGTGGGGCTCCGAGCTGGGGCCCCTTTGGGCACCCGGGCCAGCGAGGACGAACGCAGGGAAGGCTCAGGCTCCAGGAGAAGCCCGGCAGGAGGAGCTCGGGAGGAGCCCGCCCAAAAGGGCCAACGGGGGCCCCAGCCGCGGCCGCTCCCCGCGCGGGGCAAGCCGCGCGGGCACTCCAGAGGCACGCCGCGTCGGCATCGGCCACGCGCCGCAACGGGGCCCTTGCAGCACCGGCACGGCCCCCGCAGGACGTGCCAGGGCAGCGTGCGGAGCTGGCGCGACGCGTGCAGGCGGTGGAGACTGCAGGGCCTGAAAGCCAGGCAGCTGACGATGCGGCGCACGACCCTTGACCAACTTCACGACCCTTGGCCAGCTCCATGCGAGCTCGTCGAGCAGCTGCGCGGGTGGGAGACGCGGAGAGAGGCGCGCTACCGCCATCCGTCCCTCGAGCGCTGAGCGCCCGACCCGACAGATCCGGCCTCGGGCATGCAGCCGCCAAAGCCCGAGAGGGCGCCAGAGGGGGGCGAGCACGAGGCGGCGCAGGACGAGACGGAGGAGGAGAAGGACGGCAACGACGACTGCGGCATGGAGCATGACGGCTCGCGCCCGGGAGCGCCGCCGATGGGCTGCCTCCCGGGCAACACAAGCTGCGGCGGCCAGCGGAAGGCCGTGCCCGTGGCCTCCACCGCAGGCTGCGTGCCAGGAAAAGACGCCACGTCGGACGCCAGTCCACCACGGCGGGCGCGGCGACTGACACTGGGCAAGACGACAGAACTGGTTATCTAAGAATTGGTTTCGCCAGCCCCCCGGCCAGACTTCCTCGCAGTGTCTCAGGCACGAGCACAGTTTCCCAGAACACCATATGGTTTCTGCCGAGGGTGCCTCAAGCGAGAATCCCATGTATGAGAACGGACGTCGTCAATAAACTCCTGCGACGACGGGCCCGGTTAACCCTCCCAGCCAACCCCCGGAGATCCGGCCAACCCTCCCAGCCAACTCCTTCGGCCAACCCTGGTTCGACCAAACCTTTCCATACGACAAAGTAATAATTTTGGAAACTTGTCCTGTCTGCTTCAGCCTCGTGAGAAGGCAAGCGTGACCTGCGCTCAACGACGGCATGGCGTACACCCTCGCCTAAGAGGAGTCCCCACTCTACGGACCGCACTAGACGCACGGATATACCAACATGCTCCTGCAGAACACGAGACGAGGCAACAATAATGGCAGCAGGAAGGCGATCGACAGGAACTAAGACATCGCAGCGACTGCGCCAAACGGCACATGATAACAGAGCGGCGAATTGCCAGGCTTGAACACACAAGGCTTGCACCACTTCGCACAAGAGAGGAGAATCGGCAGCAGGCGGAGGAGGCGGCGCTGAAGAACGACGATGATAATGGAAAGAGAAGGGCGATCGCGAAAGAGAGAAGGAGGAGGAGGAGGAAGACGACGACGACGACGACGACGACGACTAGGAAGAACTAAAAGACGTGGAGATAATGAATGAACACGAAGCTGATGAGGTAGGTCGGGGGGAACAGGAGGCATGGTAGGGTCAAGCAGGGGGAGGAGGAGCAAGAAGAAAGATGAGTGGGACGACGAATCTGATGACAATGCACGAGGCGGAGGCCTTCTGACTACCCGCCACACCCCACGGGGAAGCCCGCCCCGAACAGGGCGCCAGACCTTCCATGCTGGGAGGTACGACAGGACCCCTCCTAAGAGCAATCGCCAGGTGGAGACTTTGGCAGTGCCCCCGCTGCCACCGCGTCCTGAGCCGCCGACTGCCCCAGGTGCTGCTCCCGGAGCCTGGCCCTCTGAGCCCTGCGCTCGCCGACGGTGAGCCCACCCACCTGGCGCCGTCCTTGTCCTCGCCGTCGTCCCCCCCACCCTGATCCCTCCCCAGACCCCCGACGTAATGATTTTTTCATTACGTCGACCCCCAGAGGTCCCGACCCTTTCCCCATGACCGGCTTTGCATCCTGAGTCGTTTTTTGACGCTCCCGAGGCCCGGTGAGGGCCCCCAGAGGCCGAAAACTAGGAAAAACCTCCCGTCATGATTTTTTCACTACTCGAGGGGGTCTGGGTCTCCTGCTCCCCGTTCTCGCCCTCCAGCTGCTGGCTCTCCTCGTCATCGTGCTCCCCGTGGACCAACTCGTCCCACTGCTTCCCCTCTTCGTCGTCCTGCCTATCACCGTCCGCCCGATCCTCCGCTTTCTCGTCGTCACCCCGCTGTTCCCGTTCCTCCTCTACTCCTTGTCACATCCCTCCTCCTCCTCCTCCTCCTCCTCCTTATCTTCCTCCTCCTCCTCCTCCTCCTCCACTTTCCACACGTTCGAACGACCCCCCCATCCCTCTGTGATCTGCCAACACTCCGTCTGCTCCCCCTCGTCCTCTTCTTCAAGCTCCGATTCCTCATCACGTCCAGGAGGGCGGCGGGGGCGGGGGGCAAACGCGAAGACACCCCGGGTCGAAAGGAGTAGAGGATGAGAGGCCAGAGGAGGAGGAGGAAGAGGAAGGGGGAGGAGGAGGGGGAGGAGGAGGAGGAGGAGGAGGAGGAGGAGCAGGAATAGACGCCTGAGGCGCGTCGATCCATCCGAAGAGAGGCCGGCGCACTGACTTTACAGGAGGCGGGCCTCGCCGCGATCGAGCCAAGGACCGCGTGGAAAGAGGCCCGGCCGAAGAGGGAGAGAAGGACGGAGGCTGCATTCAGCAGCGCGGCGTTTTGTCCCCACCCACTGCTGGCACTGCCCTCCGGCAGCCGTGCTCGGCGTCAGGCACAGTCACAGGGGCCACTGCTCCCCCCACAGCCGCCCCAGCTCGAGTCTCTAGACGATGGCCGTCCAGCTCGTCCCGGCGCGTGCCCGATGGAGAGGAGCACGGAGGTTGCATCTGAAACCCAATGCTTCCCCACCTGCTGCTGGCACTGCCCTCAAGCAGCCGGGCAGGGGAGGGGGGAGGAGGAGGGGGCGGAGGAGGAGGGAGAGAGAACCGGAGCCACCGTGGAGTGGGAGGCCATTCTCCCAAGCGGTGGCGGAAACGGGCTATAGTCCAGTTTCCCGCCCGCCCACCTGCAGGCTCCAATGACCCACCCACAGCTCAGAGCTGTGCGCTCTGGCGAGCCGCCCGAAGGCATCTGCGAGTGAAACCATGAGAACCCCGGGCGCGCTCTCTTTGACGCTGAGGCAGAGAGTCAACCGCGAACTTCACAATGTGAAACAGATAGAAAGCGATGATCATCCTGCGGATGACCGCCAGGCGTGGTGGGCGTGTTTTCCACCACCACTACCATAAGTGGGAGCGGGAGGGGGTCCTCCTCCTCCTCCTCCTCCACGTCCTCCTCCTCATCCTCTACCTCCTTCCCCCCTCCAACTTATGGTGGTGGTGGTGGAAAACAGGCCCATGAAGGCGAGCGTCGTCTGGGGATGCATGGTCCTGGTCGGAGCCGGGTCCCCACATATGACGAGTAAACGAGGACCCGGGAAGGCCCAGGGGGGAGCGGTGAAACGTGTGATACGCGGGCGCTGCCAATCATGGCACATGGAGTCCCGTGCCTAGCTTGGGCTCCCGAGTTATCCGGGGTAACTCGGGTCCGGGGTAACTCGGGTTTGGATTCCCGAAAAAGGAACCCGAGTTATCCCTGACCCGAGTTACCCCTGATGATTCGGGGCTCTGGACGCCCGAGTTATCCGGGGTAACTCGGGTCCGGGGTAACTCGGGTTTGGATTCCCGAAAAAGAACCCGAGTTATCCCTGACCCGAGTTACCCCTGATGATTCGGGGCTCTGGACGCTCGAGTTATCCGGGGTAACTCGGGTCCGGGGTAACTCGGGTTTGGATTCCCGAAAAAGGAACCCGAGTTATCCCTGACCCGAGTTACCCCTGATGATTCGGGGCTCTGGACGCCCGAGTTATCCGGGGTAACTCGGGTCCGGGGTAACTCGGGTTTGGATTCCCGAAAAACGAACCCGAGTTATCCCTGACCCGAGTTACCCCTGATGATTCGGGGCTCTGACTAGCAGCCGAAATGGCAAGGGCGAGGCTTCAGGACATGCATCCTGTGGGACATGATCAGGCCCGCGCACAGCGTCTTCACCACGCACCACAGGTGGGCCAGCGGCATCTGAGCAAGCAAGCTCGCGCCGCAGTGATTGCCAGCGGAACTCTGTCGGCAGGCACATCGGATGACGGATCTACCACTTTGAAAGGCTTGACGATGGTGGAGGCGAAGGTGTCGGGGCACATGGACGCAGACAGAGCACGGGCGACAACTTGTGGAACCTTCGGGCGCTGACCACCGAGAGCGGCCTGTCGGGGATCTCCTGACCCGGGTCAGTCCAGACCCAGGTCAGCAGGAAACCAAACAACTGCAATGCAGGAAACAAAAAACTGCAACGCAGGTCTTCGCAAACCCGGGTCAGCCAATATGCGCGGCCGCCTCGCGGGGCCACGGGCGGCTCGCTCGCCCGGGTCAGCCAGAGGGGGTCTTCGCAGCCTCGAGCCCCGAGCCCGGGCGACTGCTTCGCGGCCGGCCCTTTGGGCGGCGCGCAAGCACGCAGTCGGAAATCTGTCGCCGAGAGGACATCTGGATGGGGCGGCCGCGAGCGATCGAGGAGAGCAGCTCTCCGCTGCTGCTGCTGCCGCTGCTGCTGCCAGAGAAGGCGGACTGGGGGGTCCGCGGGGCCGTCGGGTTCGAGGAGCCGTGCAAGTGGGCTGTCTCCGACAGCGCATCTAGCCAGGGACTCCATGCGGCGGGGGCATTGGATGAGGAGCCCTAGATAAGGGATCCAGGGTCCTGAGGCCGGTGGAGCTCCCATTGAGGCTTGGCCATGGATATGACCGCCGCTCTCATCCGATACGGATCCCTCCAGGATCTGAAGCCTCCCTGGCACATTCCTTACCCAATGCCCCTACTGTATCCCTTCATCAATCGTGAATGAACAAAACCGCCAAACCGCGGCGACGCTGGATGGAGCCTGGCTCTTCCCCACGAGCGGAGGGAGTGGAAACCGGCCAGCTTCAACGAGTCAGGTGGCAGCCGGCAGACCTTGTGCAGCGCAGAGATATCGTACCACAGGATTTTGCGATCGACGGCAAACAGCTGAGCGAGATATGACAACACAGGCATCGTCGAGGTGACGTACATGTATATATCTATATATATATATATATACACATTGATGGCCATCGCAGCGCCGTCGGCAGCCTGGAGATGCACGCATGTCCACCACTTCTGGGCAGCAGCTCGCCGCTGCATGGCGAGCGTGGCAGCAAGGCCAATGTAAGCACCTAGGTATTTGCAGGCTCCGACGACTGCAAACGCAGACCATTCAGGAGCGAAAGAGGCGAGGAGAGCGCGCGCGAGCCTTTGCCTCGACGTGGGGCGAGCACGACCCCCATGATGCTACAAGGTTGCACGTGCTGGCCTGGAGAGCAAGAATTGCCAGCACTCGCATGGCCCGGAGAGGTACCAGAACAGCGCTGAGCAGGCGAGCCTCTGCTGGCATTAGCTCTGTGTCATCGGCGCACGCCGCCACAAAAGAGTCCAGGCGTCGCGTAAAGCTGGGTGCAGCTAGCGGTGCGCCCAAGGCCTGGGCCTGGGGCACCTGACTCGAAAACGCTGGTCCGAAACGCAAGTCGAATATTTCAACACCTGGCAGTCATGGCTGGCAGGGTTGCCGCAGGCTCGAGCCCTACACTCCCTGCCTCCCACCGTGTGGTACACCTCGCTCTTGTAGACTTCGCGGTGACAGCGTTGACGGGTCGCACGTCGCAGCTTCCGCCAAGGCTACATGTATGTCCTTACTCCCCATCGCCAGAACCTTCGCCAACTATCTCACCGTGCCACCACAGCTCGTTGCCGAATCGCCGTATGCACTTACACACACTGGGCAGGAACAGCGAGGGCGGCACGGATGAGGTCAATCGCGACGCAGTGTCCTAATGCCGTAGCTAGGTTGCCGTGGGCCCTGACGTTGGCGGCAATGGTGTCTAGTGCAATTGCGTCGGTGCTGCGAACGTTCGCGTAGTCAGAAGACTGAGTGGCCCAAGGCCCGCTGGCATCGGGGTACTGTCATGCGCTTAACTTTCCGGTTGGTAGCACTGGTGCTAATGTATTCATGCGTATGTGTGTGTGTGTGCATATCAGAAGGGGCCGATCGGTCAGTCATTGCCTCTGGGCGCGTTGCTGAAATGAGGTTCTGCGGTGCGGATTGTTGTTGTTCTTGGTACTGTTGTTGTTGATGCTGTTGTTGTTGTGCCGTTGCCCGCGACCCACCCGCGACACACACCCGCGACCCACCCCGCGACCCACCCGCGACACACACCCGCGACCCAACCCGCGAACCACCCGCGACCCACCCGCGACCCACCCCGCGACCCGCCCGCGAACCACCCGCGACCCACCCCGCGACCCACCCGCGACCCACCCGCGACCCACCCCGCGACCCACCCACATTGCTTTAACGAGAAATCGGCGCCTGCGGCGGGCTCGTTGTAAAATTTGTAAAATATACGCGGGCTTCTTCAGAGCCTCTCCAACTGCCGACGTCCCCGCCGCCCCCTCACGCTTGTCCGCGACTGCGGGGTGCTACGTACACATATGCGTATGTATGTATCCAGCATTCTGCGAGTCCATGTGTATGTGTGTCCAGTGGCAATCGTCTCGGAATTCTGTTCAACTGGTCTTCCATTCAACACGACCCCCGACGGCATCTCGCATTCGAATTCCCGAGCAAGGCCGCCGAATGACAATTCGATTCAAATAGCCCACCACTGGTGGACAGGTACCAAGCAACCAACGCGGAATAACGGCAAATTAAACTCAGCGGCGAAGAGGACAGTCCGTCTCAACCTCTGAGGCGACCATGGCCCGTGGATGCCAATCTGCATCAGCATGTGCGGGAGACCTCGTTCGCTATCCACAGGCAGCTCGGGACACGCCATCGGGGAAGGGGGGGAGATAGCGGGACGGGGCGCCAGGCAAGGGAGGGGACGACGGGGCGAGGTGCAGAATTGTGTCGTTGATGATCTTAAGTATGTTGTTTGTGGCCACGTGGTATTTCGCCTTGCCCCGAATATCCGCCAGCCCTTCGGCGCGTGTGAGGCGTTGCCGTCGTCTTCGACGTCATCGTCGACGTCGACGTCGTCGCCAGTCCCAGAGAAAAAAGAAGACGAACAGAGAAAAGAAACGTCGTAGTCATAGTTCAGTCGACTCCCTTCCCTGTTTCCCCTCCCTGACGGGCGGGGTCGGGCACGGGCGGGGGGGGGCAGGGGAGGCGGGGCCCCCCCTGTGGACACGGGGGACTGGGGCACCACCGCCCCCGGGGGGGGTCGCCAGCGGGGGTCCTGGGGGAGGCCCCGCCTGTGGTCGGGGGGGGGGGGGGGGAGCGGTCCCGGGTCAGCATGCCGCCTCTCCCGGGTCCCGGCGGGTCCCCGGGCGAGGCGCCAGCGGGGGGTCCCAGTGGAGGTCCCACCATCAGAGTCGGCGGCACGGGCCTGAAGACCTTCACCCTGTTTTCGGGCCACGTGGTATCTCGCCTTGCCTGGGCTATCCTCCTGGTCTCCGTCCTACCAACGCCGATTCGAGAAGTCGTCATCACCTGTCTGTACTGGCTCTTTGGTTTTGCGACGTCGCCAGCCGTCGATTCGTTGAGGACTAGGTGTAAGAACGCCGCGTGGGCGTGGTCGGCGGGGAAGAGGGGGGAGGCGTAAACAGAGCTCTCCCTTTGTTGCCTTCTTCGGCAACACTCCAGAATCTACGTACAGCTCGACGAAGAGCTTCAGAGCCGTGGAATCGCGTCCTATCGTGCAGGACTCGGAAACCGATTCGACAACATGGCAATGAATCTGTTGTCTCATCCCAGGGGTCGCCGTCGACCTCTCTTCTGCCAGCGCCGTCCTCGCCGCCGCCGTCGATGTCACTGCAGTCGCGGTCGCAGTCGTCGCCTTCGACGTCGCCGTCCCCGTCTTCGTCGCAGTCCACGTCGCCGTACTCTCGGGGGGGGCATCCCAGACTCGGGCCGCCACCGATTGCTGCTGGCTGACGTGGGGCCGCTCGCCGCGCGACAAGCGGCGCTCAGGCGCAGCGGCGGCGCGGCGGCGCTCTGCCGCAGCGGGCGGAGCCTGACCGGGCGCACCGGGGCGCGAGGTGGAGCGCCCCCCCACACCCCCCGTGGCCTCCTCTGTGGGCGGGGAGCGTGCCCCCCTCCAGAAACCTCGCGGCCTGGGCTCCTGGGCCGCGACCCCTGGCGTTGCGCGGGCGCGGAACGTATCCATGCGGTCGCGCATTCATAGAACCGCGCCTCGGAATCCAGGCCGCGAAGGCATGGATATGGATCTGTTCGTCGCTCGTGGCTCCCCCTTCCCCTCCTCCTCCATGCCGATTGGGCCGGTGCAGCGTTCTAGGCCACCAAGCTGCTTATCTCAAAGGGGACGCCGGCCTCTCGGCACGGTGGACCCCCCTTCCCGCTTCCCATCGCTTGGGAAGCCAGCGTATTGATTGAAGAGTCCTCCCCTCTTCGTGTCTGCTTCAACGGATGCGCGCGCCCGGAACCAGGGGGGTAGAGAGCAACCTACCCTCCTCCTCTTGTCGCGCTGGCACCGATCCAACTCCTCATTGCCTTCGCAGCAACTTGGACATGGAAGTGGCATCGACCAAATGGAGAGTAGGAAATAGAAGGCCCACGGTCCTAATCCTCCTCTTCGTCCTGCTCCTCCTGATGCTGCTGATGCTGCTGCTGCTGCTGCTGCTCCTCCTGCTCCTCCTGCTCCTCCTGCTCCTCCTCCTCCTCCTCCTCCTCCTCCTCCTCCTCCTCCTCCTCCTCCTCCTCTACGTGGCCCTCCTCTCCCCCCAGCTCGCCCCAAACCGTCCAAAGCCAATCCAGGCTTGCTGGACGAATACCCAATGTAGAATCCGGCACCCTCCACTAGTCTCAGCCACTCGATAGCCCTACCACTTTCGATATAATCGCTCCAGTTCGCTGCAAAAATTCTGGATCTACGCTAGCGGGCGCCAACAACTATCCGACCTACACAAATGGCGAATCCAGATCATGGTCCACCCAGCCAGAGCGAAACCACAAAGCGCCAGACACACGATTGGCTGTTTTTGAGAAGCAGGACGAGAAGCAGAAGCAGGCGGGAAGACGAACAGTGAAAAGAGGAGAAGGAGAAAGAGAAGAAGCGCGGCCTTCTACTTTCTCTCGCCCTTGTCGGCTTCCTTCACGATTTCCTCGCCCTCTTCTCCTTCCTCCTCCTCCCCCTTCTCCTCCTTCTACGTCTCCTCTTCCTCCTCATCCTCCTCCTCCCTCATCCTCGCCATCCTCCCCCTCGTCCCACTAGCTCTCCCCAGAGTCCCCCTCCTCCCCCTTCACCTTCCTCATTCTCCCCCCTCCTCCGACAACGACAGCGACGACAGCGGCGACTGCGACAGCGATGACGACGACGACGACGACGACGACGACGACGACGACGGCGGCCCGCCAGCCTCCAGGGGCTGCAGCGAGGACGAAAGCCGACGCGCCTGTTCCGCAAAAGTCCGCTCGCCTTCAGCCTGCCGAAATGGGGGGAACCGTGCGGGTCCACGAGAAGGCTCCGCCCAGTCGACGCCCTCCCTCGTCCTTCGTATCCATCTCGTCATGTTTCTCATCATCCCTCCACTTGCTCATTATCTCTTCCCGTCCTCCTCTCCCTTCATCTGTTCTCTCTCTCTCTCTCTTTCTCCGTCTACCTATGTATATCACTCTCTCAAGACAGAAATCTTCATACACACAATTTTTTAAAAATGAATATGTACATATACCTATATTGTGTCCCCTCTCTGCTATTATCTCTCTTTCTCGTTTTTTTTGTTTTTTTTTTTTCTCTCTCTCTCTCTCTCTCTCTCTCTCTCTCCGTACATGCATGTATGTATGTCTCTGTCTCTCTCTCTCTCTCTCTCTCTTGGTTTCTCCAATTCCTCTGTCTCCTCATACTCTCCCTTTCTCATCCCCATGCTCCCCTCGTTCGCCTGCTCCTGTCGCTTCCCCTTTTCCTGATGATCCGCATTCTCCCCTTCCGTCTCCCACTTCTCCCCCCCTTCTCCTCCTCCTCCTCCTCGTCCTCCTCCTCCTGCTCCTCGTCCTTCTTCTCCTCTCCTCTTCCCTGATAATTGATCGTCCTCCTCTTAATCCTCCGTCCCCATCCTCCCTCATTCTGCACCTGTCCCCCTATGTGTTTCCCCGCCACATCCTTTTTCTTGATCTTGTCTGCTGCTCCTTCTCCTCCTCCTCCTCCTCATATTCCCTCATGTTTGTCCTCTCTCCCCTTTACCTTGTTATCCGCCATTCCTGTCCTGCAGATTGTTCCCCGGCCGTCGTCTAATAATTCGCTATTGTCCTAGCCTTCCTCCTGTCTCCTCCTGCTTATCCTGCCTGCGCGGAGCCGCATTGTCCATATCTTCCAAACCTTCCTTCTCCACCTCCTCCTCCTCCACCTCCTCCCGTTTCTCCTGGTCCTTGTTCTTTTCCCCCGCCTCCTCCTGCCCTTCGCCCTCCTCCAGCCCCTCAACATATTCCTCCATCAACCGTATCCTCCTCTTCCCTCCCGTCATCATCACCATCATCATCGCCCCTTCTCCTCATCAACACTCATGCCCCCATGTCGCACCCCCCCACCCACATCACTTGCAGAGTCGCTTCGCTGCCCTCCCCTTTCGCGCGCCACCCCGTAATTCACAATCCGCCTGTGGTCGAGCACCCGCTTTGAATAGATGTTGGTCCTCTTCCCACTCCCCGCCTCTTCTTCATCACTTTGAATGGAAATATGGCTGTTTCTTTAAGGTGGGCCATCTTTGTCATAGTCTTCAACACGGCGGATGTTGTTCCTCCCCTCCTCCCCTCCTCCCTGCCCACCCCTGTCTATCAATTTGCCTCAGTGGCCGGCATACGACACAGACTGTCGCCACGTCGCAAGCGGGGTGCTCAGCAGGGCGGCGCGACACGGGCATCCAGACGGGGATTCGCGCCCCACGGGTGTTCCCAAGCGCGGAACTGCACCAACGGGGCGGCGCGACAAATGTCGCCCGCCCCCCCCTGTTTGTGGTGCTGCCAGCCATCTGGCCGATTCCGGAGACCCTGAACACACAAAAATGGTGTCATCTCTTGAGGGCGTTTTTTTTGCTACTTCCGCCGCCTTCAGCCAGCCTTCCACCGGCTTCCGCCGGCGGAGGCGGCCTCGTTCTACTTCCGCCGCCTTCCGCCGAGGAAGAGATGGCAGCTCCTTTGCTCCTCGAGGGCAGGGCCCTCTTGGAACGCTCCGTCTGTTGCCGCCAGGTGTGCCAGCTGTCCACGCTTGCTGCGCCCCCGGAGCAGGCCGGCGAGAAGAGTCCAGCGGAGCGACGCCCTGCACGCACATCCGATATACATCCGAGTGGGACCTCTCGCAGTCCTCAACGTTGACAGGCGTACCCGGTGGGGCACGCCTGCCCCCGCGAGGAGGGCACCGCCCCCGCCATCTCCGACATAACCGTTGTTCTGCTCCCCTGCAGAGGTGGGGCGGTATGGGTGGAGGGACGGGGGGGGAGAGGAGGCAGGGAAGGGAGAGGAGGCGAGTGGGAGCAAAGGAAAGGGGGGATGGATTCGGGAGGGCCTGAGGTGGGCCGGGAGCGGGGAGGGGGGGAAAGGAACGGCGAGGCGGAAGAGGAAAGTTGGCGAGACAGACGGGGCAGGGCAGACGGGAGAAGGGAGCGGAAGGGGGAGAATGAGGGAAGAAGGGGGCGGGGGGAGGGCAGGTCAAGGGAGGCGGGGGATAATCAATTTGGCAGAGGATGCGGGAGTGGATCGATTCTTTTGGACTGGGTCGGGCGCTGGTGCACGAATGTGGAAATCGTTCGTGATACGTTGGACACGAGCAGCGTTAATCTTAGGTTGGCCTGGGCACGACAATACCAATTGCACTTCGTAGTGGTAAAGATTCGCGATTGCGTCGTAGTTACTGACGCGTGTGTTGTAGACCGCTGTGCATGACCATTCTACATCAAGACTTCAGACATGTCTGGGCACATACACATATACCGTATACCCATACACAAGTTACATTGTATGAGACATGCGCGCGGTAACCATCCATCCTCAGGGGGGATCCAGGATAGTAATAGGCACAAGGATAGGGCAAGGGGAAACGAGAAGGATACAAGGAGAATACAAGGAGAGAGGCAGGGGAACCTGGGAAAGAGAGAACAAGGCAGAGAGAGAGAGAGAGAGGACGGGAGATGGGCAAACGAGGCGGTCTCCATGGCCCGGGCAAGGGCCTGCGAATCGCGCTGCCACGGGCGCCGCCACTGGGGCCCGCCCGAGGGTGGCTCCGCACTGCGGGGAGTCCGTGGCGTCCCATGTCCGCCTTCACGGACCGAAGCGCACATGGTGGCGTGGAGGGTCACGAGAGGAGCCACACGGAGGAGGGGCCCAGGAGGAGGGGGCGGGGGGCAACGAGGGCTAGAAGGACGAGGACGACGAGGGTGGGAAGGGAACCGAAGACAGGATGAGCAGCACATGGAGAAGGAGGAGGAGGAGGAGGAGGAGGAGAAGGAGGAGGAGGAGGAGGAGCAGGGAGGGGGGGAGAAAGAGGAAGAGCATGAGCACGAGGGTGAGGCTCCTCCGATGGCGCCCCCCCGCTGCTACGAGGAATAAACCAGGCAAGCAATCCCGCCGTCCCTCTTGGCAAAGCTCATCAAAAAAAACGACTGCCGCTCCTTGCAAAACTGCCTCCTCTCCCCCGCCTGGCTTCGCGTCCTGGGGGGCTCCCGGGGCCCCTTCTGGATAGTCTTTGGGGGGCTCTGTCTTGGGCGCCTCTGGTAGCCTCTTGGGGCCATCTTCGCGTCGACTGCGCTTGTCGGTGTTGGCCTCCGCGCGGATCGGGTTGGGCATGAGGGGCCTGTTGGGGCCATCTTGGGACCATCTGGTTGATCATTGTATAATTCCATATTGGCGCTCTGTTGGGCCATCTTGGGGCCCTCTTCGTCCGTCTTGTGACCTTCATACGCCATGTTGGGGCCTTCTTCTCGCTAATTTTGGGACGATGTCGGGGGCGTCGTTGGACGTTGTTGGGCCACGTCGGGGCCATCTTGAATCGACTCAAAGGATCTGTTGGGCCATCTTGGCTGTCTTGGAGGCCGTCTGGGCCGTCTACGATGCAATCTGAGGCTGCGCTGGCAATTGTTGGCAGCATTGGAGGCTCCCTTGAAGGCCAGCTTGGATCGAACAAGAAGAGCTGGCCTCCTGTGGCCGCGAGCTCCTGTCCTCCAGATACGAGCCCGCCAGGGCCCTCAGCCGCCGTAGCACGCCAGATGTCTCCGCCCCGCAGCAGGCCTCCGCTGCAGTGCGCTGCAAGGCGTGCTCCGCGCCAGTGCCCTCTGGCGCCCGCCCCAAACAGCTCTGGGAGCTGTCCGCTTGCCGTGACCGCCGGGCTGCTTCCCCGCTGCTCCGAGCAATCGCCATCTTCTCCGACGAGGCGACTGGCGGCGGCCGCCTCTGCGCAGAGGCACGCTGGATCTTGCAAGGAGATGGGGCACCACCCCACGCCACATCAGGGTGGGGGAGCTTTGGCGCCGGGAATCCTTTCCCCAAGAAGCTGATCCACGTGCACCGTGAAGCCATCCGAACCCGATGCTTGGCTGCGCGGCAGTTCACAATCGGCATGCCGGCTGGCAGAGGTGCTCTCGTCCACTGGCGCACTGTGTTGGAGGAGCTTTAGGAGGAGGGTTGCGGCCACTTTAACTGCGATCCGTTGGCAATAATCGACGCGGACCTGCAGAATGCGATTCTCCCCTTTGGATCGGCTTACATCCGCGACCCCGTCGCCAAGGAGCTCCCCGCCCTCCTGCCGTGGTCATCGTGGACTCACCGCGATCCTTCTCTTGCCATTCTGCCATCCTGGCAGCCAGTGCTCGTGGACCGAGGTGCCGAGCAGGGCGATCCCCTTGGTCCGCTGCTGTGCGCCTTGGCCGTCGAGCGGGTCGTGGCCCGCACCCGTGCCCAGTGCAATTTTTCGCCTAAGCGTGGTTCGTGGATGATGGCCAAATCGTCCCCCGCAGCTCCAGCGTTATGGGGCGAAGAACGATATGAAATACTTGAAAGAGCGTGTTCTGCCGCTGCTGGCGGAAAACTGGGGGGGGGTCACTGCGGGTTTCTAGTCTTGGGGACAGTGGTGGGGACAACGAGACACTGGTGGGGGCACTGGTGGGTACAGTGGGGACAATGGTGGGAACAGTGGGGACAGTGATGGGGACAGTGGGACAGTGGTGGGGACGGTGGTGGTGGGGACAGTGGTGTGGGGACAGTAGGGTAGTGGTGGGGATAGCGGGGACAGTGGTGGGGACGGCAGTGGTGGGGACAGTGGTGAGGGCGGTGGTGAGGACGGTGGTGGGACGATGGGACAATGGCACAGTGGGGACAGTGGTGGGGAGAGTGGGACAGTGGTGGGAACAGTGGGACAGCACAGTGAAACAGTGGCGGGGACACTGGGGACAGTGGGACAGTGGTGGGGACAGTGTGGACAGTGGAGCAGTGGCGGGGACAGTGGGGACAGTGGGACCGTGGTGGGGACAGTGGTGGGGGTGCGACAGAGGTGGGGGCACTGGCGGGGACAGTGTAGACAGTGGTGGGAACAGTGGGGACAGTGGGACAGCGGTGGGGATGGTGGTGGTGGGGACAGAGGTGAAGGCGGTGATGAAGGCGGTGGTGGGGACCCCGGAGTCGTTTGCCAGCGTCGAGTGTGGGGGATGCGGGGGGGGGCTCGAACCGGTAGTGACCCCCCCCCGTTTTCTGGAGGGGGGGTTCGAACTGGTAGTGACCCCCTCCCCGGATTTCCGCGGGGGGGGGTTAGGGGGGGAGGGGGGATTTTGCCGGGGGAAGGGGGGTTCGAGCAGGAGGGCGGAATTTTCGGAAGGGGGCTCCCGGTTCCGCAGGAAGACGGGAGGGACATTTTCCACAGTAAAGCGGCGGTGGATCACGCTCCTTCGAAACCTTCAACTTTTCCGTCGTCGGGGAGGCCTGCCCCCAAAGCGGCTGGAAAATTGATACCCCGAATTACGCGGCACCGTAAGGGGATAAACTTCCCAGCCGTCCCGCAACAAGCGTCCCCGACGGCGGAGAAGTCCCACCAGCCCTCTGGGCGTCGGTGGTTTAGAGCGTTTCCTCTTCCACCCCTCCTTCTTCCCCTTCGGGGAGGGGTTTACCCCTCCCCCTACCCCCTCCCCACTGACCTGGACAGGGGGTTCCGCGGCGCGTTGGAGCGCCCAAGATCGACCCCTGGGAGGGCTAAAATTCGACACCCCTCACGAGGATCGTGGCTCCTGAGGGGGGGACTGTAATTAGGGACCCCCCCTTCGTTGATCGATCTCCTCCAAGATGGCTCCGAGGCCCCCCAAGAGGCCCCCAGGAGGCCCCCAAGAGACCCCCAAGAGGCCCCAAGAGACCCCCCAGAGGCACCCAAGAAGCGCCCAGGAGGCCCCAAGAAGCGCCCAGGAGGCCCCCAAAGGCCCCAAGATGGCCCCAAGAGGCCCCAAGAGGCCCCCAGGAGGCCCCAAAGAGGATCCCGAACGGCCCACAGAGGCCCCCCCGAGGAACCCAAGACGCCGAAAAGCCCCTCAGGACGACCCTCTACTCGCCTGGGCGTCGTTTCTGGACGGGCTGGTGGGGATACGCGAAGCGTCTAGAATTTGTTTTATACCGTTCTTCGCAGTCTGAAGCGTGGACTTGTGGTTGCGGGCAGTCGGTGACGAGGCCGCCACCATTGCTGGGGTTGTGCTTGGCCGAGGAGCGGCGGCGCGCCCGCGCTGGGCCACGGGGACTGCGTCCCGGCGTCTGCGGCCGCCCTCGGCCGATGGGCGGGCCCGCCACGTGCTTAGCTTAGCTTTCGGACTACCTACCAGACCACCCCAACCCAACCCGAAGACCCGAATTTCGGGTTGGGGGGGGTATGGGCTCCATATGTGTTTTTTCGATGTTTCCCGACACCCCCCCCACTGGAAATCGAGGGAAAATCTGAGCCTTCGGGTTGGGTTGGGGTGGTTTGGTGGGTGGTGAGACACGGTGGACCTGCGGAGTACACGTCCGCCGAGGTCGTGCTGATGCAGCGCTGTGCAGGCGACTGCAAGGTGGTCCACCTGCTCGGTGCAGCAAGCCTGAACATCAACGAGGAGGCGCTGGCCCGTTACGACGGCATGCTCCGCTGCGCTGCGGCGTGGTGTTGGGTGGGCCAGTCGACGAGACTTCGTTGACCGAGTGCTCCGTGGGCGTTTGCGAGGGAGGGCTTGGTCTTCGCAACGTCAGCGACGTGGCCCTGCTGGCCTTCTTCCCTTCCCGCATGGAGTCGCCGGCGCACGTGATCGGACTGCACGAGGCACTCGCCGCGGTGGGATTCGCGGGGGTCCGTTGGCTGCGCGCGCTTCGACACGCAGGCCGCCCCCGCCCTGCAAACTGCAAACGTTCCAGGACATGCCGCCCCCGCGTGCAGCCGAAGAGGTCCACGCCACGGTCGACGACCGGGCCGCGGGCGGCGAGCACCCCTGGGGCCGCAAGGAGGGCGCGCTGCTGGCTGCTGGCTGAGGACGCCCTCGTCCTGCCGGCGTGCGCGGAGGATGCCGCGCGGGCCCCAGACGGCCGCCGGCAGTCTCGCGTCTGCGCCACGGCCGACGACGTCGCGGCCGAAGGCCTCTGCGCCGACCTCGCCGCCGCTGGCCCGGATGCCACTTGCCGCCGTTCGCGGAACTCCGGGACCCGTCCGTGAGCCAGGACTCGCTCTGGGCTCTCAATCTGGCACACGGCCCGACTCTCGGCCCTGGCGAATACCTCACCGTGGTGCGCGTGCGGGTTGGCGCCCCCCGCTATCGACGACGAGCACTGGAACGCTGGACCAGGCGTGTTCCCACGCTCTCCACTGCGCCACCCCATAGACCACGTGGGGCCACTACGAGGTGCACGACCAAATGACGTTGGCGCACCTGGCAGACCCAAGCGCCGAAGCCGAACTTCCAGAGCTGATGCTGTCAGTTCCAGGGCGCGCCCCTCGCGGGCCGCCTGGCGGCCCTGGATGCTGGCGTGCGCAGCCCGGGGGCACAAGGCGCTGGCGCTGGCGCGCACTGCAGCGGTCACCTCGTGGAGCTGGCGCCGGCGGGCATCACGTGCGTGCCCAGCGTGTGGTCCGTCTGCGGCCGCGCCGCCCCGGAGCGCAGGCGGGGCTCCAATGACGCTGGCGCCGCGGGCCGTGCGGCACCGCGGGCTGCGCTGCCTCACTGGGAGCTGCCGCGCAGGGCGCAGGCGGCCATTGGCGCTGCCATCTGGCGGCGGGCCGCTGCCGTGGTGCACGCCCGCCTGCCGGCGCTCACTCCCGAGGAGGAGCACCTGCTGTGGGCTAGGAGGCGTCGCCCGCGCGGGGGGGCGTGAGCAGGAAGCCGTGCGGTGGCCCTTCGGAAGCTTAGGAGGTCGACGTGGAGGATATCCGAAGCCATCTTGGATGTCTAGGAGGCCGTCTGGGCCGTCTACGATGCGAACC